TTCTTTATGGAGTTTTCCCATATTCCTGTCATGTTTACGTATTGTTTCATCAGAGACATGCAATTCAGGGTCATTTCATGAGTGTGTTGCCTTGGGTTAGTCTTAACAAGCGTCTTCAGAGCATCAATATCAATTCCAACATGTTGGCCTTGCCATCACAATTTTTAAGGTTAAAGTCACCTGAACGCAATTTCCTGAACCATCGTTGACACTTACGAACGTTCCAAACATTTCCATAAACTTCTTTTATATTTTTTGTGGCTACATGCCGATTGTGTGTCTCATCGTGTACCATCACTATAAAGAATTAGAGTATACTAAACTTTACACATTATATGAGCTACACTAACGTGACGTTTAGGTGGTTCGTTTAACTATTATACGTGATGTACATTTTGTGGAGAGTGGTTAATGAAAGTTTTCTAAAATGTGACATTAATTTCTTGATGACCTAATACATACATAGAGTGAGTGACATCCAACAATTGTTTCAGTTAAGTAGACGGAGTGAGATAGACTACCTAACAAATGTTTTTTAAATAAGTGATACTTACTTGGCTCCCGGTATTGTAGACATTTTGGTGCTGGACTTGTCAGATATTTCAGTATCACTGGTTTCTGACAATTCACTGCCAGAACGAGACAAGCTGGGACGATAGTAAGTCTTACGTGGCGGACTTGGTAACTTTACTGGTTGGTCTTCTTGTGAATCACGAGTTGGAGTCTTTGAACGAGACTTAGAATTTGATTGCCCTTTGTGCTTTATGTTTGATCGTGAACGAGAAGAAGATTTAGACCTCGATCTCCACCTTGTTCGAGAGTGTGATCTGGATCTTAATATTGAAATACAATCATGTTTAATATAGAGACAAACATGGTACCAACCAGCATATGTACAGTTTTTTAGTATCCTTGTATATTGTATTTGGTATTTACTCTCATCTGACAAAAACTATCACTAAATCAGCAATGTAGGTATAGCCTAAGAAAGCACAATGAGAAGAAATGCATCTTTAATACTCTAACATGATTATATGGGTTTATGTTAAATATAGAAATATATTTTTAAATTAAGATAATTACTTTCATGTACATGCTGCTCATACATAATACAGGTAGATAAAATGTTTTCTTTAATACAATGAGATATCTTACCATGCATATATATATATGTATGTATGTATACACACATATATATACATATATCTCGCAAGCTACATTTCAATGTTACTAATACGGAAATTCTGCTCGGGTAACAATTCCCATTCATCAAACTCCATGACAGAAGCTTCATTACCTAGAAGTAGAGATACTTTTTCTTCTTCTTCTTCTTTGATTACGAGACCTTGATCTAGACCGAGAGCTGTAAGATGATGATCTAGAACGAGACCTCCTTCTATTAGTTCGTCTATGTCTATTTCTTGTTTCATCTCGCCTCCAAACTTTATGCTTTCTCCGGTGGTGCCTGGATGAACTTCGAGACGACCAAGAACTTGCTGAAGAGTGCCTTGAGGACCTTGAAGGCGAGCGTGAATTATGTGACCTCCTTCCTCTATGAGATCTACCACTTGGTAGATCAGGTCCTATGATTTTCCTGGCTGGAGAGTCTTTCTTCTGAGACCTATATTCAAATATATTTATTAAAAATATATATATATAATCAACATATTTTTAATATTGATACTTGATACCTTTAGATCTTTCTAAATATGCTCTTTACAAACGTTTTCATATCTAAAACAGCACAATCGTGATAACAATAACTGGAATATCAACCAGAAACATCTCAACTACATGACCTAATTCTGTCTGTATTTCAGGCTGATAACTTGGTTTGGATGGAATGGAGCTTGGGTTCAAGTTACAGAAAAGGAAAAAAAAAATTATTATATAGTGTGAAAAGTACATGTAACTTTAATAATACAAAGTTGGATCTATCTTGAATCAAGGTATAAACTTGTGTATTTGTCAAGTATTATCCATATAATCCTTAAAACCATCAAATAATACTAAAAATGTTTCACTTTACTTTATAGTTTCCACAATACAATTTTTATGCTGAAAAAAAAAGTGACAACTGAGGTGTTAACAAAATTCACCATAATTGATAAGTCTGAAAAACATCAGCTAACCCATCAAAACTTCAGCTAAATAAAAATGTCATTAATAACTAACATCTGTCTATTCTAATGTTTTGTTAATGACTTCTTCATTTTAAAAATATTAATAATTAACATCTGTCTATTCTAATGTTTTGTTAATGACTTCCCCATTTTAAAAATATTAATACCTAACTCCTGTCTATTCAAATGTTTTGCTAGTGATTTCCCTGTTTCAAAAACATTAATAACTAACATCTGTCTATTCTAATATTTTGTTAGTGACTTCCCTGTTTTAACACTGTAAGAAGAGCAAGAAAGCTCCTTTCACTGCTTGAATTGTTATCGGTATATTCTTATCTTTCACAACGTGAAATTTTTTTTTTTCACTGAGCTAAGTTTCTTCTTGTGCATAACAAAGATAAATGCTAACATAATAAAATGTCTGGCAATAAGTCTATACATAACAATGTTAAGCAATAATAAAACACCTAAAATTTGTATGGCAAGTGCTAATCAGAAGTATGCTTACAATCATCTTCAAACTTAAAATTTCTTTAAAAATGTTGAGAATAACAAGGTTAAATTTCAAGAAGCCCATATTTCTGTGAATAGCACAAACAGGTAGGACAGTGCTAATTAACAATTCATAGCTATTAGTTAGTGATAAATTTTGTTATTGCTTTTGTAGAAGAATGGTAGAATATAATTCATTGTACTTGTCATAAAAGTAATTAAATTTGTTAACTGCAGACGATACTCAACAGGTTAGATATGAAATCGAGCCATACACTTTTAGGTACATAAGATATAAAAATTAAAATTCATAAATACCAACTTAAACACATAAAAATAACACGTGTATAAAAATATTCAAGTGCAACTATAAATAGTGTTCAGTTGCATGTGGTGAGCTATCATTGCCTATTCATTTTGCTTCTTAAACTTCTCACCTTTTAATGTAAGCCATGATAATTTCTACAACATACTGCTTTGGCAATATTGAATTGACCTCAGTAAAAGCAAAAGAAAAATAATCATGGGTGCCTGATAGTCAGTGCCAGTTAATGAGAAGAATGTTCTGTGAAATTGTCATCATGTTGACATTGCTATATCTGCTTATATTGAAACTTGGTAGCTCATGTTTTTTTGAGAACCACATATAAAAATGCTTACTCAGATTTTTAATTGAGATTACTGAAGTAAATATTGTACTTTTTACATTTCTAATGAGATGAAAAAAATATATATATTTACACAATACAATTTTAAACCCTGAAACTGTACTGGTTGGATTAAGCTATCTTACAGTACCTGATTTCTACCTAACTATAAAAAAACTCATTTTCTGTAATAGCTTATTTTACCATGAAAGAAAGCAACTACTATAGTAATAATTTATGGCAAACTGATGTCAGAATAAAAACTCTCTCTCACTAAAATAAAAATATATACATATATTACAGTGGAAGTCTGGCTTATTATTCTTCAAACTCAAATAGTGAGAATAAAAAAATAGATGATCCTGGAAATCCTGGTAGCAATTCATACTCTAAAGAAATTACAATATACTGTTGCTTTCTTTCGTTCACTTGAAATTTACATACATAATATGTATGAAATAATGGGAAAAATGTGACATTTTACCTGTACTGATTTTGATTTTAAGACTTTCAAACATGAAAGAGCTTTGTTGATAAATTGTAATTAATTTCAGAATTTGTTTTGTACAGATGACAAATCTTCCCTCCAGTTACAAAATACTGAAACCAAGAATTAGTAGTGTTGTAGGTTTCTTATTTATAAAGTTCTGAACATTTTTTTTATATATACATTTCAGTTTATTCTGTTTTTGTGTCAAAAAGACAAAAATTAATTCTACATGGTAAGCCTTGGATTTCAGAACATACTGTCTACACTGCTTTAAACTATCTTTGGAATATATAAATTACACAATTTTTAACACAACTGGAGGGATGAAATGATATAAAAGTCACTATTCTCCCATTATACTAACCCTAACATCAAATATCTCTAATTCCAGGCCCTAGACTGCACTGTAAGAAAATTCACATAATCTTGTTGTGGTTGCCAGAAAGCCCCAGGATCATGTGAAGTCACACTGCTACAACACACAGAAACACAGAGAGAGAGAGAGAGAAGGGACTTGATTCACTCTACCGACCGAGAGTTCCTGTCTGAGTGTTTGCCAGACTTGGACCCTGAATGATGGTGTCTACGGGTGGTGGAAGATCTCTTCTGTTTAGATAATCCCGATGCTCTTCCACGGTCCTCATCTGTTCCTTCTCCACCAAAACTGGTAATGTAGGTTATTTCTCCAGCATTGATGGGAGATCGTGACCGAGAGCGTGAGCTGGAGTGAGATCTGTAAAAAATAATTACATAATAAGATTGTTTAAGTATCATCATATACTTTTTCTAGTTCTCAACTATTCCTGCAATAATATTCCATGACAGATGTGATAACTATTTTATAATGGCTTAAAGCTAGAGAGACATAAAGAGTTAATGGCTAAGCAAGTCATCATATTTTTTTCAGTGAAATTGTAAACATTTTCAAACAAGTATAATATATTGCCAAAAAAGGAAGATTTTAATAATACTTAAAACTACCAGGTACACCTACTTTGCATATGGCTTGTATGTTGGACTCTCTCTCGCAGCATAACTGTAAATAAACACAAAACATCTAAGTTTTTCTAAGATTATGTACAAATTTAAAATTACATAAAAAGATATCAGTTTTATTTGGCTCATTATAAAAATATTAACTTTTGGTTAGTAGCCTAACCTCAGTCTAACAACTAATTATTTGCTTAAATTTTATCTTTATTTACCAGTTGGTTTCTAATTTATCCTAAACTCTGATTACGAATCTATTGATCCATCAAGAGAGTCCTAAGAAGAACTGTATGCAACAGGATGAGCCAGGATTCTTCCTGAATTTTGTTGTTAAAAGGGCACTCCTTTAGACTTTCATAACAGTGACAGTGTATAGCAAGCCTGCTTTCTATTATGCAGATATAATAAACTTCCAGACAATATCCTTAACCCTATCACCCCACGTATCCTTTACTGCACATGACATAAAGTTTTAGTGTCTTACATTCAAAATTTTATTAAACTATTTTTTGTTTATATTATACCAATTAGCTAATAATCATTATTTTAATAGTATACAAGTTTTAAGTTCTTAATTCTACAAGGCAATATTTAAAAAAGTCCTGAATTTCCACTAGTGTGACCCACATTTTCTCTGAGCATGTCATCATCCTTATTTTATCCACCACCCCTCAAAAAAAGTATGAAAATAAACATAAAATGCTCTCTATAAAATCATTATTGCTCAGACAAACTATAATTTTTATAGCCTTCAATATTGTTTGGTTACAGAGCTATCAAATAGAAAATCAGCCCCTCTCGTTACATCCTCTCTTTCACAATTCATTGAGAGTTCTCTCTTATGTTTTATTATATATTACCTATAACCAATAGAAAGTCAAGGTTTTCATCTATCAAATTATGTATTGTATAACATTGTATTCTGATCAGAATATCATCAATATCACTCACAGTACAAGATTCGTTCCTGGTAAAGTTAACGATTAGCTTGGATGAATTTGTAACAGCTCTTGTCACATAGTTAGAAAGCCAGGAAAATTTTGAGAATTAAGTAAATTTGTCTATATTAGTTATTGTTATTAGTCTATATTCTTTGGTGCATTATTTAATTAAATAAAAAATTATTAAGTGCATTACTATCTATAGCATAAAAAATTAGGGTTAACTCTCTTTGTAGCCCAACAGCCAGAAAAAAGAAGATTGAGTAAGTAGTTTATTCTTGTTTTTCACATTTATTCTTTCTTTATTATTATAAAAGTAACTATAATCTAAAATATGGATCTTTTCCCTTGTGAACCATTTTAATTATATTATTATTATTACTTATTTTACCTAATCTAGTCTTAAATAACTTCGTAACTGTATACATCTATTTGTAATTAAATTTTATTGCCCTTTGAACCATGTTTAACTACTATCTGCACCATTATAAGTTGTAAAACACTCAGGAAATGTGCAGCTCACATTACGCTATCGAATTACATTACTCATGAGCTGCTCGCGTGCGTAAACTTAGAGCTACTTAGGATAAACAAATGTAGTTTCATGTTACAATCTAAAGTCACTCTAGAAAGAAAGAAAAAAAGATAATTTAAGTTTATTTCGATTTTTTTATGGTGGTTACGAGGTTGGTTGAATTGACCAATACCATTTTAAGATAGGGTAGAGAAAATAACAAAAACTATAAGGATTTAGTGAAGAAAAAAAACGCTAGAAATGCATTTAGGAGGTTTTAGGTATTACAAAAAAGAAATTTGAAATTTTTTAGATGAGGAAAAGTATTTTTAATTTTAACATGAAAATTACTTTGAAATGAACTATTCAAAATAAATACTCAATATATTCATGAACAAATCTTTATCTTATTATAAATACTTCACTAAAAAATATGATTTTTTGTATGTGAAAGACTTATAATATGAACTGAATAACTGCCAATTTTTTGAAGAAATACATACTATATTGAAAGTTAGAAGTATTATATCTATAAAGACTTTATTCGAGTACAAAGAGGTCACGTGGTTGGTCAAATTGACTGAGCCCGTGTTGAGAGAGTTAAAACAAGTTACCACAGTATCTTTAATGTCTGTGTCTCCCTCAAACAAAAAGTATAGTCATTGGCCACAACAATAATTATATGACATATTGTATATTATACAAAAATAAATAGTTTTATGTCCTTTTTATCCACGATTTACATTCATGCAGGTTACTGTCCAGACATTCATATAAAATTTGAGTGTTTGTGTGGTCTACACCAACGTGCCACAGAAAAATTAACCAACTTGTGGAAAATGAATACTCCATTGTCTTATCACTCTACTCTTGTCATCTGAAGATTATGAAATTGCAATAACAATAAAACAAATTGCTGTCAATAATGGTTATACAACTAAGTTAACTGACACACTGCTGTTTAAAAAATTGAAGGAAATTAACTTCAAATCAATATACCTGCATACTGTACCAAATGAAATCAAGAATAAATGGTGTACAATAAGCTAAACTGGAAAAACTTTCTCACAAAATATATAACACATTGAACATAGAAATTTATAGACCAGCCTTCTACTGTAAAAATAATCTGGACAAAATGTATTGTAACAACAAAGACTTTAACTTGAAAATTACTTTGTACACGGACTGTTCAAAACAAATACTCAATGTATTCACAAACAAATCTTTATTTTATTCCATATACTTTGCTAAAAAAATGATTTTTTGTATGTGAAAATATTAACTGAAACCCTGCCAAATTTTATGAAGATATATATACACTGTATTGAAAGTTAGAAGTATTAAATCTATAGAGACTTTAAACGAGTACAAAGGGGTCACATGGTCAGTTCAGTTGACCGAGCCTATGTTGAGAGAGTTAATATATTGGAAATTTGGAAAAATGGATTCAACTTTTGCATTACACCTTATGGAAACTAAACAGCAATTTCATCCAAAAAAAAAAACTGCAAATTTTTACACAACTGTGGAAAAAGATAAAAAAATTCAATCACCTAGAAATTTAGAAATGAACAGAATTATAAAAATGAATCCAGACAAAGGTCTAAATGGCCAAATAAACTGAAGCTCCTCACCACTTCTCACCCCATTTGCCTCCGGCTGAGTGTCAAAGTTACTTCTGGTTCTTTGATTTAGCACACATATATTTATCTGTTTACAAGCTAATTCAGTCTGTACGTGATGATGTCTTCACTGGTGAAACCATGGTCATAATAAACAAAATACGTGTGGCATGTACAATTGTCCTTGTTTTTATCAATTCTATAATGAATGTACTTGTTTAAAATACAGCGTTTAGATTTTCAAAAATTGCCACCATTACTTTTGTGAAGTTAAGCCAAATATCAGCACCTAGCATGTAATGGAAACACTTCTTTATGTGTTTGTTTTTTCTATTGGTAAGCTGATATACAACTGTCTTTTAATAAAAAAAAATCAAACTATTATTTCATTTTAAGACCTTTACATTTATAAACAAATAATGGAGTAAAACTTATTAAATGCTAATAAAAGTAAATTCATAAGTTTTAACTCTTCAATAATAACATTAAAAACAATAACAAAACTTATTTTTTATGTAAACAAGTTATTTCACACACAATTAAAACTATATCCAGGCAAGTTCTACCTTGGAGGACTAGTTATTCTTCTTCCTTGAAGTTCCTTCTCTCGAAGAGCTCGTCTTTTTCGACGTGACTTTCTTCCCTGGATGAAACAAAGATTTAAAGCAAGAGTAGGTTAACTTGTTGTAATGGAAACTCATTTTTTTAGATAATTAAAAACAAAAAGGACAAATTACATTTCAGAAAAGGAAAAAAAACAGTGCTTTTTAATTAAAATGTGCTTGTAATATATTCTTTTAAATTAACAGTATTTACATTTTCTGCCAAAGTATCATGTGTTTGGAGTATAAGCCAAATTTATTAATAAATTCATTTAAAAAATGTAGGATTGAGAAAATCAAATAACATTCTCAAACTGTTATTTGTAATAAAATGTAATTTTTGGTTAATAAATTCAAAGAAAAGGAATTCATATTCCAAATTCGATCAATTTAGTCACAGAAGAAAAACTATTTTTGTTGCAAACACCACGTACTTAACTATTTGTGTGTTTTATTATGCTCTCTGAGGGAACATATAATAACCAAGTCACAAGCATACTATTTTTTAATAACTATTTTAATTTCTTTTTTTACCTCCATGTATATTTTTTTCAAACAAAACAGCAGATAATTAATATCTTCCTTGTCAGTATAAATCCATTTTTGAATATCTGGGTTAAAATTCATGGTTTTTGTCATTAAGCACAAAGTTTAAAACAAATTTGCACAACATACTATTTGCACTGTGCCCATCACATGGATCGAACCTTAAATTTTAGTTTTACAAACAATCAAACTTATAAAATTCATGGGTATGTTGTTTTGATTTAATACATTAAATATGAAGTGGGTATTTCAGTGACTTTTGAAAGTAAGTATGCAAGTCTTTTAATTATTTCCAAATTTAAAGCAGTGCAATTTTGACATTCTCATATGTGGTGTATATTTCAACTAGTAGTTGTATTGACTGAAGAATGGTGCATTATACAATAATGTTATTATTATGAACACATGATTAACATAAAAATGTTAAAAAATTTGGGATAATAATTCATACAGAAACTTACACAGTAATATGAATTTTTAATCTATATACAGCCAAAATTATTGTTTTAAGGGTAATGTTAAATTTTTAGATTAGTTAAAATAGATAGAAATTTTGAAGCTAAATAATTTTTCACACCCTTGTTTAGAAGTTTTCATTGAAAGGGATAAGAAAATAAGGTTTTACAGAAAACAGAATTTAGAGTGATACAGGAATCTGGAAAAAACTCCTATGAGTTTCATCTGAAAAACAATAACTCATGACATCTCACATAAATTACACTACTTCACAGTACAATCATACAGATTATTCTAATCCGTGTTAACAAAAAATAAAATTATCTGTATTAATATCTAATAAGAAAAATAAAATTATCTATGAAACCAGTGACAGAAAAGCCTACAGAATACAGAGCCTTTTCTTCTTCCAGTTCTCTAGCCTGCCGAATCTGTTCTGCTTCTTCTCTATCCTCATGCAGAAAACTGTAAAGTTATTGCAACATTAATCTCTAACCAACCTATTTACTGGTTTCTTGTTTAACTATATGTTCTCAACTGTACTATTAGAGGCACCAGAACACTATTAGTAACCAAACTTACAGGCTACAAACAGGTTTTAGTTTATTATTCTTAGCGTGGTGTGCATCCCTGATAGTTTAATATTAAAAACAGCCAACAGAATTTAGGTTAACTAACACGTGCAGTAAGAAAAGATAACAAGAACACTCAATTATTAAAGTTGGTTTAATTTTCTTCCATTCTCAACGTCTCTCTTGATTTTTAGTAATCCTTTAAAATGAATGGAATGTCCGGTACTCATTAATTTACCAACTCAAATCATATTCAGAGCAATAACTGATGATCTTATAGTTTAACTGAATGTCATACTGATAATACATGTACCAAGTCAGAAAGAATTTCTTATGTTTTTTATGCTGGTTGAAGTCTACATAAATGTGTGTTACAAGTTATCACTGTATAATACAAGAGAGCAAGCATCCTTACATTAAACAGATTTGGTTCAACCAGTGCTAAAAAGTATGAAAATTACTTCAAACACCCTTAACTTATTCATTTCTGACAACAAAAGGCACTTAAGCTTCAGTTTTACACATACAAATATACAATTGTGTCTATACACACAGAACCGATATTTAATGTTGACACAAATTAATTGCCATTAATCGCTAGTACCACTTCAAAAGTAAAACTTTTTCAAATAAGTCTGTTATTTATCAGATAGATGAATACTGTGGAATATGCATTGTTATTTGATATTATATTGTTCCAGTTCTATAGCCTGACCCAGTTTTTGTTTCTTCTCCATACTCACACAAAATTTATTAATAAGCTGCATCCAAAAAGAAAAAACTCTACAGTAATTAAAATTGATATTGATTACATCTTCTGTGCTCTTTAAATTTTCCATTAACCCATCTATAGCAGTGATCTAGTCATGAAAAAAGAACAAATATTATAATCCTTTTACAAAAAATATACAAGTAAGAAATCTCTTACCTGATGTAATCATTTCCTTTCATGCCATATTTTGTGGAACAGGCATTCATCTCAGTACACTGCTCCACAGTCAACTCTTCAACATTAATTCCAACATCTGCAGTATAAAAGCCAAAACTGTTTGTTACAGTTTCATGTAAGTTAACATAAAAATCAAAACTAGGTCATTTTGACCAATCTTGTAATCACCATGAAACCACAAAACTATAAATTCTATAACTTTTAATGTAATAGGTTATATCTTCATAAAATTTGGCAAGCTTGCAGTAAACAGTACAAGACTTGTACACAAAAAATCAATTTTTTATTAGGTATTCTTACTAAAAATTTCTCCATGAATATATGGAGTCAGGGTGTTAACTGCTCAATGTGCAAAGTGACTTTCATGTTAAGATTAAATATACTTTTTTCATCTGAAAATTTTCAAATTTTTATTTGCCTCACCTCTAAAACTGCCGAAATAAATATCAAACGTTTCTTTTTCAGTACTATTTTATATTTTATGTTATTTTCTCTATAATAACTCTATACAGACTGAATTGATATGGCCAACATTGTAAACACCATAAAAAATGAAATATATCTAAATTACCCCTTTTTTCTTTCTAAAATGACTGCAGATTGTAAAACAAAACTACAATTGTTTATCTTAAATAACTTAAAACCTCATAACAGTCTACATCTGTTTATACTTAATTTTATTGTTTTACTGCCCTTTGAACCATGTTTAAGTAATAAACCTGCCATAAAAGTTGTAAATCACTCAGCCCACACATAGCTCACATTACCATATTGAATGACGTAATGCACAAGCTGTTCATGTGCATACCTTGTGAAGAATTTTTACTATTATTATTTTTCATTATCTTACCTAACATAATAAGTTTCTAATTTTTACATTTTAGTTATTTTTTTAACTATAGATAAAGAATATACATGAAGCTTACATTTGACGTTTTTGTTTGTTTTTTTTGTTGTTGGTTGCCAATGAAATTTAAGCCTACTTTTTTTTTTCTATAATGATGGTACTAGTACACTGAATAATTTTATTTATTTAAATAATGCACCCAAGGACAATAAATAATAACATACACAAATCAAACTATTTCCTATTTCTATTATACTTTAACTGATTTTCGAACTTGTACAAGAGAGGCTTAAATTAACCCTATCGTGACAGGTCAAGTGTCAAAGGCCATGCCATTGCATTTGTCGAGTTGCATTCAAAATTTTATTGAACTACTATTTTATGAATTTATGTCAATAAGTTTGGTATCAAACTGTAGATCATAATTCAAGTTTTAGTATTATATGTTAGTCAATTTCTTAATTTAAAAGTAAATGTATAAAAAAACCAGCTAAACATCGATTTTTGTGTGTCACGTGGTATGTTGAATGCAGTACTGGTTCAAATTAAATGTTTGTGATGTTAAAATACAAAATGTAAAGTTTTGTACGAATTAGGAACTCAAACTATCGATATTGACAAGCTAGAAGATAAAATAAGAACCTCTTATCTTTTCTATTTGCTAAGGTATTGCTCCTGTGCTGAATTAAACACAGTAGCCCTCCACCCACCTCTTTCCATTTTTGGAAACAGTCCTTTATATACACTTACTTCTATGTATGACATGAATAACCAATCAAAAGTTCAGAATGTCCCCCTAGTGGTTTTCTCAGCCATTTTGACATGTTATTGTGCTAATTTCGTTCTTTTCGCAAAAGATTTCAAACAATGAGGTAAGACTTTAGTGAGCTCGAAATTTCATATGTTTTTAGACCTAAATTCAGCTTAGTTACTATGTTTGATAACTTATAGTGGAATTCTATGGAATCGATATAGTAATTTATGATTTTTTGGTTATTTAAAATGTACATATAAAATGTATAAAAAATTTCTTTTCACATCCTCCATGTGGGAAATTTCATAAGGCTTAGCAACCTATGATAAGCAGCAAATGAGTACAAAGGTCATAACTAGAAGAGATAATTGTTTGCTTTATTTCTTTATTTACTGTTTTATGTTTTAAGAAAAATAAGTTAAAGAACATTATTTGTAAATAGTATTAATGTCTATATATATATATATATATATATATATATATATAATGTATAATAATTGAAATGTGACTATTTTAGAAAATACTAGTCTACTAAAACACAGCCAAGACAGGTGACTTTGTAAATACTAAAGGTCAGTTGTATATTATATGATACGGTAACACGAGTGCACACGCGCCACATCATTGTAACTTCTGTATTGTTAGCCTGGCATGGCTGGAAAGTCAATATAATAAAAATAATAAATATATATAAATGTATAATGTTATGAAATTTAAGCTATTTAAACTAAAAATTTGTGTTTTCATATTATAATTTGTAGTCATTCTAGAATGAAAAGAGCATAATTTATAATTTTTTCCTAATCATTTATTGAGGTTACAAAGTCGGTCAAATGCAACCAACCTGTACAGAAATACAGTAGTGAAAATAACAAATAAAATATAGGTTTTTTCTACAAAAAATTTTATAATTATCTGGAGATTATAAAGATTTCACATGTGAAATTTGAAAATGTTCTAATGTATTAAAGTATTTTTAATCTTAAAATCAAAATTTATTTGCATGTTGGATGGTCAAAGAAAAAGGTTTACGAGAAAATCTTTAATTAAAAAATCTTCATACTTAATTTAAAAACCTGATATTTTGTGTATGAAAATCTTGTAATGTTTACCAATAACCTACAAAATTTTGTAAAGATGTGCATACATTATCAAAAATCATAGTATAATTACTGTCATGGATACTTTCATGGTTACAAGCCGGATGAATTCCACCCAACCTGTAATGGAAAGGTTAATTCACTTTGCAACTCAATCTGAAAACCAGAAGATAAACTTCAAACTGAATAAGAAATCAATACTCTGTACTGAAAATAACATAGCATTATACACCATTCAACTTGGTCATAAATGATGTAGTATAAAACATTAGAAAGAATTATTGGCAATTTGTGAAATAGAGGATATAACAGATAGGCATAGCAAGTGGGTCTGATTTTCTAGTTTATGACTTCATAAAAAAATAAGATGGAAGGCTATAAAGATCAGACTTCACCTTAGTAGTATCTATAACCAGATAAATTAAAGAGGAAATACTTACAAAACAAATGTCACGATTCTCATACTAGATGATATTTAAGATTTTAAAAAATATTTCCTTATAAGATTAAGAACTTAAAACTTAAATAATATTAAAACTTGATTTATTAACTCTGAAAAAAAGTTGCTACATGCATACTTTGACCTTCCCATTACGAGAGGGTTAATATGTTAAAAATACAAATGCATAAGTTTATTCATAAAATTCACTTACACATATAGTTGAGATTCGTTTTAAACCAGGGTAGCATTTGAAGTAGTTTTTAATGTACAAAAAAATTATCAATTACATTTATTCTTGCTGTACACAAGGTTTATACCCGAGTTCCTCCACAGGATTGCTATAGACCCATATGAAAGAGCATCAAATATAAAAGCAGCTACCAAAGTATATGTACTTCAATACAGATTCTGTAACTGTGACAATGTTGCCCAATGAATAATTTTAAGGTCAAAACTAATGTCAGTGATGAACAGTTTTTGTTTAAAAGAAAGCTTGCTTATCCACAAATAAGTGAGCTCAGCATGTATTTAGTTACTTGCACACAATTAACAATGAAACTGAAAAAAAAATACTAACAGGTGATACAATGATTATTTTAACTAGATTTCATAAGATAAACAAGAGTGATAATTATCAAAACATTAGTTTTACAGGACTAAATGATGTTACACAGACAATTATACACACACAAAAAAGTCCTACTGTACCTAAGTCAATGTCACTCAAATCATCATCATCATCGTCTTTCTCTTCTTCTTCTTCTTCCTCATCTTTTCTGGTGAAAGTTGATGCTTGAGGAGTACTGTCCTCATATGTATATCCTATAGCAACCTTCTTTTCAGCTAATCTAGAGACAACATTAATAACTATATCCTTAAAAACAAAACAAATTAATCTATTTGTTAATAACAAAATATTTTGTAATTAACTTTTCTCACTAAAAATAACATTTAAACAGTAACATACTGTTACTATAAATCACCTTGTCAGTGCTAGCAATAAAATACTAAACCAAATGAAGGACTGGCTATATCTCAAGTTAACAACATAAAAATCATAGTGACCCTTTACATCTAACGGAGTGAATTCAACTAGCTGATGTTACTGATTTATGTCTACTGCATTACAGCTGTCAGCTTTTGAATTTCAATTCCATCCTAGTTGGCAGATGTTATGATTATAGAATATTTTAAAGAATAATGAAAAAGGTAACAATTCAACAGAACATCAGCAAAATCAGCAACTGTAATGGTAAATTTGAATGTGAAGTTTAAATAAAACACCAACAAGTATTAGCTTCAATTCTGTAAGTTTCACACAATCATTATTTACACAAGACTTATTTAAAATCTTAATACATTTATTGAGCTTATAAAATCACAACCATCTATAAAATTTTATGTACCTTATACGACAAATTGACTAAACATTCAGGCATACCCATCCTTAACTGCTTAAAAAGATGAGAGCAACCAGTCAGCATCATCTGCCACCTACACAACAATCCTTAAATGAACAGAAAACTGGTGATCAACCTCAATAATGTGCTCAGAGCTGAAAGTGTGGAAAATGTTGAATAGCTCATTGTGAACTCAAACTTAGCACCATCTGATCTGCAGCAGCCTAATGTACTAACAATTGGGGAGCACTGAGCCAGAACATTTCTTGGAAACGTAAGTCTAGGTTCCTTCAAATCATCATATCGAGATGTCTCTTACAACAAACTCACTACCTAACATACAAACAAGAAAGGGAGTAGTGAATGCACATTGTAATAGAATGAAAAGGAAATAATCCTCTTCTTTTTTTACGTGTGCAACAGCAAAACTTTTATCCTTTGATATTAAAAAGCATCCACATTTTCTTCTGTATATTTAGTAAATTATCAATACAACACTTAGAATAATTCATTGAAATATAACTGACATATAAAACTTTAACTACTGTCACACTTTGTTAGTTCCAGCAAGAGCAACAAGGTTCTACCTAGTAAATAAGTTTCTCTATCAGGTACTACCTCAACCTTCATACGGATTTTTAAATGCTAATACTGAACTGTATTATGGCCACTGGCAGATCTACTGGGGGTGGGGGTATTCCTAAGATCCACCCACGATCTCCAAGTTGTTACAAGTAATTTTCTAATTACAACTATAGAAACTGTTTTTGTTTTTTTACCTTTTCTATCAGATGAAGGTCATAAACAGGCCTTCATTTTCAATGAATACGCTTACCTTCTAGTATGCTAAAAGCTATGAAAAATGAATGCTACAATTAGATTATATCATACCTGTCCGAATATAATGCATACTTTTTTTTTCTCCAAATACCTCCTGAATAATTTACTGTGCATTATATTCATGCACATTCAATTTTGTAAGGTATCTTAGTAGAAGCTACCACCGAAAATCATTAACGGTTTCAAAAAAATGTTGCATATCCAATAAAATGGATGGGACAGATGATGACATGCTGTGTAAATTAGAAGAGGATGAATGCAATAAATCCAACAGTAGTGACAATTCTAGCAATGACAAAGATTTATGTGAAGACGAATGATTACAACTTAATGTATTACCACATATAAACTTTTCATTAAATTTTGGAAAATTGACACACAAAAAATTCCAATGAAAGATTTCCAAAAATGTTCAATACATCAATAGTTGTTCAATGTATTTAAAAACTATTCAATACACTTTGTACAACTGATGTGTAAAAAAAAACAAATTTTCTTAAATTTAACCTTTCAAAATTAGGATGTGCATTATATTTGGGGGGAGCATTATATTCGAACAAATATGTTATATTCATTGCTCCAAATACACCTATGGCCTACACATGATGAAAAGTCATTCAATTCAAACTGTTCCCATGGTCATCACCTCATCAAGCACCCCTACCACCTATGGCCAAGTGTTTGTAAAGCAAGGAATTTTATTTTTCCAAATATTTATCTTGGGTTCTGAATAAAACACAAGGTCAAGTATGAATGCCCTGCAAGACTGCCAAGAAAGGTGTGACAAGGGCCAAGGGGTTTTTACCATTTTTTTCTTCATCTACTTTTGGCATGCAACTCCCATCAGGTGATCTCTTCCAATTCTAGATTGGACCCTAGAATTCTCACTGACTATGGAACTGATGTTAAATACTACACTGTGACAGTAATATTAGTTTTAATATTATATATCACTTCTCACCAGCAAACACTGAGAATTAACACTGGGTATTTATGAAAGTTGTTACCACTAAACTTCTATTGATTCTCTGATAATAGTACTCATTACCACTACAACTAAATGAGAACTGTTGTGTGCAAGTTCAAATGAAAGACCACTTAAGAATAAATACTACAAGTCAAATTCCTTCCTACTTCAGCAAAGAATATAATGAAACCAAAAGATTAACATTAAAGTTTACAACAAAGGATAAACCAGAGAAAAGAACCTTACTGAAAGGAAATGATGGGAAAAATGTCTGTATGCTTGGATGTTCATACCAATCTAACCCAATTCTTCACTTAGACAAACATGCTATCAAATTGCTTGAGAATGCAGACAGCCAAATAAGTTGAAAACTGTAAGTGAACTAACAGGACAATGTATCTCACCTTGACAAACCAAGAACAAGAAAAGTTAATGGCCTATATGATCACATAAATATAATGTTACCTTTCTTTTGACTGTTGGTCATTGTTACTGGCCTCTCTTAGCAATCTAAAAATTCTACATTTTTTCTTAGATCAACAAGAGCCACCTATTAAAGTTCTAACTGTAACAAACCCTTTTCTCTTTTTTTACCACATTCAATGATACACTAATAAAAACATGTAACAGACAAGTGAAGCAAACAGATTTCATTAAATATATATATATATATATATAAATAAATATCAACTTCCAATCAAAGCAAGCTATGTACTTAGATTAAAGCTAAAAATCAACCTGATAACAAACATAGCTAATTAAATATATTCTTACTTATAAAGATTAGTATGCCTTATTTCATCAGTTCAGTACCCTCACTGTTAATGATATTTTTGGTATAACTCTCAAAAAGTATACTTTTGCTGAGATGAATCTATAAATATGTGACTGGACATCAGTATCACTTAGCTGTATTTATATTTTTATTAATATGATAATTAATTAGCCAAAAGACCATAGGTGACAACCCAAGTGACATAAGATCACACTAAAAACAAACCATCAACTGACAGGCATATATACCACTGAACATGCATTACTCTGAGGAAAACTTCCCCTTGATTACTCAATTTTCTAATATTCGTGCACTGCTAGTTATAATTATACATTGAACAAAAATAAGTGCAGAAAAGTCTGAAGAAACAGTGTCCAATTTAGTTACCTTTTTTTTACTGTAAACTGCTGATTTAGATCAGTATCCTAAAAACTTGCCTCAATGACTCTTAGTTTCATATTACACTTTTAAAAATCCTTTCAAACCATCACCAGTTCCTTAACTAGGTTTCCAAGTCCGAACTTAAAAGTAAGTCAAATTCCATCAACTCTAGTCAAATTATTCAAACTTTCTGAATCTAGGAACACCTTATAATTTGACACATGCTAGTTATGACTATGGAATCAAATCCTTAAGAGTTGTCTGACTCTAACTAAGTTTTCAAATAAATCTTACAGAAAGCAATGATAGAAAAATTTATTTATCTGGGTCTTACTAATACTGAATACATACATATACTTCAATAAAAAGATAACATCTGATCCACCTTAACACTTATCACAAATTTAAAAAAAAAGACTGACTAAGAAACTACATAATCTTTAAAACACAGGAACAAAAACTGAAAAAAAATAGTAAGTTGTACTATAACAGTAATTAACTCTTGGAATATGCATGTGAAACTGCCCAACTATTACTTAAGTGTATGAAAAATGTCTTACTTTTTCTATTATATTTCAAATATACTGTTCCAAACTGTGCTTAACAGTATCAAACAAATAATACCTGCTTTACACTTAGAATAATTATGCAGGTTTCCATCCTACCTTTTGTAAAATAAAACTCTTACTGAGCTTTTATTGAAACATCAAGATGCACCGAAAAACAACACAACACAAACAAAAGAGAGAGAATGATAAAACATAGTCTTTAAGTTTCCCAAGCTTCAAGCTGTGGATACATTAACTGTCAACTTTTTATAGATGGTGAGAAAAAGGGTGCTGCTGACTGACTGCTTTCCCTTAAGCCAGTAATTCTAAATAAGGGGTGGAGCAGATAGCCTTAGTAACTTTGACGTAAACACAAAATACACTAAATTTCAAGATCACTGTATTATATTTAATCATTTCTTGAATCACAGAACTGAAAAGAGCCATCACAGCAAATCAAAGTAAACATGTCACACATAAGTCAAATTTTATAACATATTAAGATGGTCTAAACATGTTATTTTACTACATTTCAACTAATCCTTTCAGGTTTATATTCAAGGGTGTAACAACAACTTTGTTTTTAATTAGTGAGTAGTGCTCATATACATGCAGCCAGTAATGGTGAAGGAAGAAAAAGATCAGAAGATTTACTATAAAGGACTATTAAATACATACACATAAAGAGCGTTTTATAAGTATTGAACTTACTTTTTCTTTTCCTCTTCAACTCCTGGTTTAATAATAGGTCCAAACCTTTCTTCCAGGTAAATCTGATGTAAGAACTTATCTTCAGTAACTAAAATGAACATCAAAATGAATAAATACAAAAAAATAACAATCTTCATGATAACATACTAATTTAAAGTTTATATTTTATTATAGTTTAGAACAGAATCATTTCTGGATTATATTTACATATATATTGATGTTTCATATTATAAATATAACACACACATACACATATATATATTACATACATATTCAGAAACAACAAAATTTTCTGTATATTTAGCATTATTTGTAGATAAGAATCAATGATTTAATATGGATCTTCAGTTTTATGTTTGTACAATTTTAGCCTTACATAGTGAGCGTTATATAATACCTTATATATTTATCATTATGAATTTCATAAGTGGTTTTAACAAGATTACTTTTAGTTCCTTCAAGTAAAAGATAAAAAAGAAATCCTTACAAATTATAGCTACAAAGCTACTGTACCTACAACTGATTAATACTAAAACTGAAAAATAATAACACAAAATGTTACTCATACAAACACATTTAGTCAAGCACTGAGAACAACAAAAGGTTATAATTAACTAAGTTCTACTTGCATCATTTATAAACTTGAAGAGGTTTTAGAAGCTACTAATTTCCAGACTGCTTATTAGGCGTATTATTATCATCAAAGTTATGTAGAAATAGATACATATGCAGAAGCAAACTCATATGACAAAACAAAAAATGAAGAAAATACTGTAAAAGAACATTTTATAACCAGGTATAATTCTAGACTTATTATTACCATCACAGATATACCTATAAAAGCAAATTCACATGATGAAACAAAAAATTAAGAACATACTATAAAATAACATTTAAAAACCAGTTATAATTCTAGGCTTATTATTATCAAAGTTATGTACGAATAGATACACATGTAAAAGCAAATTTGCATGATCAAACAAATAATGAAGAACACACTGTAAAAGAACATTTTATAACTTTAAGATTACAGACTATAAACCAAGAAGTACCTCCTAAAAATTCATTTTGAACCAGTGTACGGTATCTTTCATAATTAATCAGTCTTTCTTCTTCCATTTCTCCTTCAGAAAGCCTAAAATAAAAACAAAAACAACTAAGTGTGATATGACCAGCACCTGTAAACATTTCTAATATACAATAACTTGAGTGTGTGTATAGTCAACAAAATTACAAGACTTTATTATACCATTCCTCTACTCCAAATTACAACTTTTATCTGGCCTGTGGGAAAAAATAAGCTGACACATTAGCAACTTTTCTATAAAAAAAAAGTTTTAAGACACAAAATCATTTAAATCTGTTTGTTGAAAATAACCTTCAAGAGATGAGATAAAGATTAACATACATATATGTAAGATTTATTTTTTATGAACCATTTAATAATTACTGCACATGTCCTTTCAACAGTTAATCAAAAAGAATGGTTGTATTAAAGAAACACATCTGTATGTTCGGTGACGAGGAACCCACTTTGAGACTAATAATGGCTGGAGATGGCTTGAATGGGTAATGAAGAAAAAATCTTAATATAAGTTTAACATAACATCAACATTATACATTTGCTGTTATGTTAAACTTATATTAAAGTTTTTCTTCATTACCCATTCAAACCGTCTCCAGCCATTATTATACATCTGTATGTGTGTATAACAATTTATTTCACATAGTGTAAGACACTATGATAGAGTTTGATACACAGATGTGTGTAGTTTTGACAGAAAACATGCTGGTTCTCCTTACAGTTCCTGATGATTACTGGCTTTGTGATAATTTCTATAGATATTGTATTACAATAACAACATGACCTCAGGCAAAGTTTAGCAAAAATTTCTATATTTATTAAAAACAAAAATAATTGCATCTTATCCAGTTCTTTTTAGTTTTTGGATTGATGAATGCTGTTGGATTTCCGATACAACAGCACATGTTGATAAAATTTATTGAGTTTCCAGATGTGGGATACAATACATAGTTTAATTGACTCAGAGACTTACCGTTAGAAATTTGCAGATATTTACCCAAATTAAAGATTTTTTATTGTAAAATCTACAGAGGACAGATATTAGAAACTTCAGGTTCAATGCTTATTTGCAAGTGTAAATAGCAAAATCCTTGACAGGCTACCAGTGCAACAGATGTGGATGTGATCATGATGGAATACCAGTTGTAGTTCATGCTATAACTTTTAATACAGAAAGCATATATTCATAAAATTTTGCAGATTATCAGTAAACATTACAAGGCTTCAGCATGTAAAACTTCAGATTTTTTTTTATTAAGGTTTAAGATTTTTTAAATAATGTTTTTCTCATGCATTTTTTCCTTTCGAATGTTGACTATCCAACATGCAAAGTAATTTTTATTTTAAGATTGAAAATACTTTTATGTATCAGAAAATTTTCAAATTTCACGTGTGAACTCTTTATAACTTTCAGATGCTTATCAAACATTATTTCTTAGAAAAAACTTTATACTTTGTCTGTTAACTATTTTCACTATTATCAGGATGTAAAGCAAAATAATTTTTTTAGGTTTTATATATACATTTTAAAACAATAAAAAAACCATAAATAACTAAATCAATACCACATAATTTCACTATAATTTATCAAGCATGTAGCTTAAGTTGTATTTGGGTCTAAAAAATGATATTTTGAACTAACTAATGTCTTACCTTACCACCTGGAATCTAGCATGAAAAAAAAAAGTTTGCTGTGCAAGTACTTCGCAGGAAGATGAGAAAACCACTAGGAAGACATTCTGATCTTTCGATTGGTTATACACATGTCACTGGGCGAACTAGGTGCATGTAAACAACTATTTTTCAAATATGAACGATGTGTGCAGGGCCACCTTGATTGATTCAATAAATGTATTAATATCTCACAAAAGAGAAAAGATAGGAGGTGCTTAACTTAGATTCTAGCTTGTCAATATCTAATTTGTGAGAAACTACAGACTTTGTATTTGGAAATCACAAATATCTAATTTAAACCAATGCTGCATTCTACATACCACATGGCACACAAAAATCAATATTTAGGATTTTGTTTTTAATATTTACTTTTAAATTAAGAAATTAATCAATGTATAATACTAAAATATGAATTATAATCTGCAATTTGATTCCAAACTTACTGACATACATTCATAAAATTGTAGTTCAATAAACTTTTGAATGTCAGTCTACAAATGCGATGACATGGCCTTTGACCCGTGACCATAGGTAAATCCGTGTCAGTAGGGTTAACTGAAACCGCAAAAATACCCTATCTCCCTATTATAAAAAATGCGTCAGAGTGAATCTGAATCTGGATTTCTATCCATACTGTCCCATACTAACTTCTCATCTTGTGTAACATTTTCATGTACCTATTTCTTTTTGAGATACGCACATGGAATAGCTTCGAATAGTTTCCCAGTTGTAATACATGGATATTACTACATTAGAGGTTGAAGTTCTAGAGATGATAGGGAGGGTGGCCATTGTACCACCAAGAAGTGAAATAGTGATTCTGGTTGGAAGAACTCTTGTGGATGTGAAGATTAACAATGTCATATATGACTTCATCTAGGAAAGATTTATACAAGCTTCTGATAAAATGAATAGTCACTGTGATGTTAATGATGGTATGACTGAATTTCATCAATCTGACATGATATGGCTGAACAATTACAGTGCCTTTCAAAAGTATTCACCCCTATCAATAATGTCACATTTTGATGAAATACAAGTAATGTAAATGCTTTTTTTAATGAACTTGTTTTTATTCAAACCTCTAATGATCAAACTTAATACTTTTAGATGTGAAGGAGATTGAATGTCAGCAAAACCTGCAAACAAAATATATAAATTGAAATTTGCTGATTGCACGAGTATTCATCCCCCTAAGTCAGAACTTGGTGGAAGCACCTTTGGCAGCAGTTACTACTGTGTCTTTTTAGATAGGTTTTTACCAGCTTTGCACAATGGAATGGTGTAATTTTTGCCCATTCTTCCTGGCAAAATTGCTCCAATTCTGATAAGTTTATTGGAGATCGTTGATGGACTGCAATCTTCAAGTCTCGCGATAAATTTTTTATTGGATTCAAGTCAGAACTTTGACTGGGCCACTCCAGAACATTCACTTTCTTCTTTTGAATCCACTCAAATGTGGCTTTGGTCTTGTACTTTGGGTCATTGTCCCGCTGAAATGTGAATTTTCGACCCAGTTTTAAATTCTTGGCTGACTCAAGCAGGTTTTCCTCTAGAATTTGCCCGTACTTTGCATCATCCATCTTCCCCTCAATCCTTACAAGTTTCCCAGTTCCTGCTGATGAGAAACAACCCCATAATATGATACCCCCACCACCATGCTTGACAGTTGAGATGGTGTTGACTGGGTGATGTGCTGTGTTGGGCTTGTGCCAGACAATGTTTTGAATTTAGACCAAAAAAACTAAATTTTTGTCTTGTCTGACCACAAAACCTTCTGCCACATGTCTGCAGTATCATTTACATGCTTCACAAACTCCATATGAGATTTAAGATGATTCTTTTTCAGTAATGACCTCTTTCTTGCCACTCACCCATACAGGCCAGCTGTGTAGGGACTGGGATATTGTCAAGGTATGAACACTGACTCCCATCTCAGACATGGAACTTTGCAAATCTTTCAAATTCACTGTTGGCTTCACAGTGGCATCTTTAAACAGTTTCCTGCTTGCCCAGTTGCTTGGTTTGGAAGGGCAGCCTGATCTAGGTTAGTGACTGGGTGGTATGAAGCACCTTCCACTTCTTAATGATGGACTTCACCACACTCAGAGATAATCAGCAACTTTGAAATATTCTTGTAACCTTCTCCTGACCTGTGCTTCTCTACCACTTTATCCTGACTTGTTTGGAAAGCTCCTTGGTCTTAATGGTTGGTATGTCGTATAACTATGCGAGTTATGTCTTGAACAGATGCATTTACTCTGAAGAAAGAGACCATCACACTAATTTTGTGACCTTTCAACTAATCTTTTGCACCTGAACTGACTTAGGGTTGCCATGGCAAGGGGGTTGAATACTTATACAATTGAGAATATTCTAATTTTCTTTGAAAATCCAACTTACATAATATCAGCATTTTTTTTTAGCTTTCTCAGTTTGGAGGAGATTCTAAATATAAAGTCCCATTTGAAAGTTTCGTGACTGCAAGCTCAGGGGGGGATGAATTCTTTTGCAAGGCACTGTACCTGATGTCTTGCCAAAGAAGAAAATTTATGGAGTTTTCAAACAAATATAATTTGGAAAACATTTTCAGGAAGAAAATATACATTTTAAAAACTAGAGAAACCTTCCATGATTTGTGGTTTGTTCTTATGTCTTCTAAACTTTGCACTACATTCTGTTGTTGTTCTCTGAGTGAGCTGAATCTTGTCACTTTCCCATGAAATTATAAATTATTTCTCACACCATTTTATTCACTCTATTTTGGAATAAGTAGTTTATAATCTGCTTTATCCAGTGGTATTTAAGCTTTGCCTGTAGTTATTTTGAACACTGAGTTTCATTATTTGTTGTTCAATCATCTACTGTGAGGTTATAACAGGAGGAAACCAAGAAACTACACTAATGAAATTCTGAGAAAGAGAAGAAAAATCATGTAAGGACCAAAACACTGATAATTTCATTCTCAAAGAATGAGTTTCTTAACATGTATATGCCTGTGCTTTGAGATAGATAGAAAAATTATATAAATATATATATATATATATATATATTGTATGTTGTTACAGGCAACTTCTCAGAGCTGTGTAGAAATATGATTATTAACACTCAAAATATTTTTCTTAGCAAATAACGTTTGACACCTGAAAAGATTTTCATCAGCCCACAAAGAACCAAAATACATTGATTACACAGCTTCAAGAGGGTAAACAAAACACTTCAATAACACACCTTAAAATATAAATTTGTTTACCAATTCAAAGCTTTGTTAATAAAGAATATTTGAGTCAAGCGAGCCTGTAAAAAATTTGCACTATATTTAATGTTCTGAAATTTCACTAAGCATCTGACAAATATTTGATTCTTTCTGAATATGTAAATATAATTTTAATTAAAATTTCTAAATGTGTTGTGAAATTTAAAAAAACATTTGTATATAATAAAATTGTAATTTAATATTAATCTACTTCAAAAATTGAAATAATTAACTTCATCAAACTTTCAAAAGTGGGGGAAAAAGATATTCCATATATTCAAAGCTTAGAAAGTTAAACAGCATCTATTGTGATCAGAACAAAGATGAGCTCTCACATATTTGACAAACTCACTGAATTTTTATTTTTTTTACCTGCACCTTATGACAAAAGGATTAATAAAGATTATGTTCTGTATAATACTTTCTGATAAAGTAATCAATAAATTACTAACACTTACTAACTTATTATTACTTACTGTAATATGATGCTTTAATAGCTTTTATAGTTCATACAGATACAATCTAGTTAAAGCTAAAACTCTGGTGTAAATAGCTTATAACATAAGTAGTCAAAGAAATACAAATAAACATAGCTCTATAATGTCATTCAAATTAATGAAAGGGTCAGTAGATCACAACTCTTAAAGTAGGATCACTAATAATAACAAAAGTTAAATGAATAAAAAATAGTAATAGTTTTTACTTCTAGTTCAAAGGTTTTTCTTGCAATTCAAATCTTTCTTGAGTAAAAAAAAACAAACTTTTACATGAGAACATGAAAAAACTACACTGTCTAGAAACAATGCCTAACAGAATGACCACTTCTAAAAGCCTATTCAAAAGTCACATTTAGGTAAAATATGGCAGGTTATAGTTTTTAATTCAATGTTATAAATTGTTCCAAGTTGAAAATACCTGATAGACTCAACAGGAGATATGTATTCAGTGATGTGATCAAGGTGAGCTCTGACATCAAACCTGTCGATCATTGTGTCAGTCTGGCCTTGCCAGGGCATCCTTAAGAAAAAAAGATTAGGACTTATTTCTGAGATTGCTTTAATTCCAAATGACTCTTATTAAATAAAAACAACAAAAATAACAGTCTTTCATATCTCAGAAGTGAGTCAAAATTACAGTTATTATCATGAACTTGAATGAACACTTATATTTTCTCATAAGCACATAAATAAAGTTTACAGTTCCACAATATTAACAAAAAGAAAAAGCACTTAATTGAAGTAAAAATGTAAAATAAGTAAAGCTTGACAATATTTAATAAATTAATCACAATTTTATTTATATATAACAGCACACATTAGGATAGTATTGACTTTTGTTTAGATGTTTACAACCATGGCCAAATTTTCAAAATCCTCAAGGTACATGAAAAAAAATTAAGGTTACACTTTTTTTAAAACCCTGGGTTCACTTTGAAGAGAAACCAGAAGGAATACTGGTAATTCATCCAAACATCATGACCAGATATAGTACAAGAGCACACTGGCATAAAAAGCAAAATCAAGTGCTCCATTCTGAATGTCACAAATAGGTTCTAGGAATAACTATAGGAAGTATACTGTAAGAATGAGTGTTGTACTCTGCTTTCCAAGTAGCTTGGAAACAAATAATCAATCCTAAAACCTGAAATAAAATCAAAATTCCCATTATGAAGAGTCTTAAATGGGTTTCAGAAATATTGTCAGATACAGTCAAAAATATTTAGTATGAAGTATTTAAATTTCCAAATGACCTGACAGCAACTTATCCATTGAACCTGAAAACAAAATTAAAACTTCTTTTCATAACTGTCCTTAATAGAAAACCACCTGCAATTATTAATTAGTCCCAATAGGTTAAGTTCACATGCTTCCAAGTTAAAATGTTTGCATGAGCTTCAAAAAAAATAATAGGAATAATTCCAGGATATTTCAAGGAAATTTGTTGACAAAATATTGTGTCCGGATAACACTACAAACTACAGAAGCATTTACGCAGATTTTTTATGGAGGAGAAAAACATTTTTCATAATGGTCTTAAAAAGACAGTAAAAATTACAAAATCTCTAGCTGCAATTTGCAATATAAAATTCTAATATTTTATTGGAATGAGGCTGCATATACTCCATTATTATAAGAAGTGTTGAGTGTTTGTACTTAGAAATATCAGCAATCAAATTGGACTGTGTTAAAGATAAACATGCCTCAAGCTTCCTCTTTGAGCTTTTACCCCTGCATGGCCTGGCAAATATATCCAGGTAACGGTCTTTTTATACAGTTGTTTTGCTGTCTACCATCCAACTAGGGACAATCACACTGACTTTCATGCAGTACTGCTTGCAAGTCAGTCACAAATATTATGTTGGTAGTGATGTCTATTTAACATTCATTGCTTTCAGCAATACAGAGAAAAGTTTCTTTATGAGTTTCAGCTCAATCTTTGTATTGCTTGTGGGAAGTCTGAATGCTCTATCAATTAGAAAAATAAATGTGGTAGTCACAATAAACCTAAATGGATGTCATACGAAGTGTAGCAAACCTTAAAAGAGAATATTGAGGCAAGTAAAGCATATATTGATACCAAAAATTGTAATAAAGGAGAAAGTGATATCAAGTAGAAGAGGACAGAATTCAATAAAACTACCTCAGAATTCTGGCAAAACGTAAAGAAGTAGGCAAGTAATATAGTACTATTTTTGTCAGCAATTTGAATCCAGTAGACTCTAGAATAACAAAACAATTATGGAAACTGGCAAAAATTATGAAAACGTATTAAGTTTACGTATGATGGGGTCAAAGGATCAAATGGTAAATCTCTCAAATCTGACAAGCAATAATTTAACACCTTACAGGGGTACATCAACTGACTACAAGAAAATAGTCAAGCCTCTGTGAGATGGGTTTGGCAAGAAGTGAAAGACAGAATCACGGTCAAAAACACCAGTGACACTGGACAAATTGGAAACAAATCTTCAAATAACAAAGATGGATTTTGCACCAGGCTCAGATGCTGCAAGATATTCAAAAATCAAACCTCTTTAGAGAAAAGAAAGCAGAGTTAACTAAAAAAATTAATTTGCCAATGATAGAAAGGAAAAGAAAGAAGAACTTCAGAGACTGCTTTATTGCAGTGTTGCCCAAACCCTTCAAAGATCATTGCACAATGAAGGGACACAGAGTAATAGTAATGTCATATTTAAGGATAGAGCTCATGGAAAAGGAAACAACAATGAAAAGACTCATGCAAGATCTAGCTAAAGAAGAGAGACTGTCACCCTACAAAGGTGTAAGGGGCAAGACCAAATGAATCCACAATCTCAAATATTGAGGCAGTCATACACAGCATCCAGCAGTGTATACAGACATCACAGTACTGTGCTGTTGGGCTAATTGACCTTGAAAATGCAATAATAAACTAGATATTGGCATTTTTACCAACAAAACTAAAGGCTCTAAGAGCCTCAAACAGTCTCATATGTCGATTGTTGGTTATGCTGGACACCAGGTGTTATCAGTTGACATCTGGCAAACAGACATAACATTTTTGAAACCAGCTCTGGCTTACCAGAAGAATCCCTGCTAAGTCCTGTCCTCTTCAATGTACACACAATTGATCTGTGCAACAGACAAGAAGAACCTGAAGTAACATTGTATTGATATAATGATATAACAATTGCAAGAATGTCACTCACATTAATGGAAGCAGATGAGGGTCTGCTAGAAGCCAGAAAAAAGCAATAGCTTCTGCCATAAGACTATAGAAAACAAAATGCCCATCCAGCTAGATGGATGTTGGATATTCATTACCAGATCTCACACAGACACCTTTTTCTCTTCATGCTGACATATGCAAACAGAAAAGTTCCAAGAACTGTCACTTTCCTGGTTCTTGTGATATTGTGACAATATCTATACATACTGATCAACTGAGAGAGAATCAGTGAAGAATCTTACTTTTCTCAAATATTCTGCAGCCCAGAAAAAGCAGCAAAGAAGCCTCATAAACCTGATGACAATGACAGTCATGACCAGAATGGAGTAAAAAATTCAATTCTACACATCAGTAGCAAAGTCAGTAATGAAAACTAATGCAGAAGGTATAAAACACAGCCTTAAGAATAGCAACTGGAACAGTCAAACCAACACCCTGCATTAAGGCTTGGTTTTATAAACATTACAACAAAACAAATGATTCTAGTTGACCAAGCACTACTCAGAACTACCACAACCATATCTCACCCACTAAATCAGCACTTGAGAGAGGGTAGATGAAGCAGTAATACATAAATGTCAGGTTTTTATAGGGCTGCGATTCTTTACGGTAGTGTCTGTGACTTGTTGACAATAACTTTCAACAATAAACAAACAGTCCACTTGTTTAAAAATAATATATTAAAACAAGTCAAACATATATATATATATATATATATATATATGTT